CCCCCCAATTCTGCTGTAAGGACTTACTTTAAAATGATGCATCTTGATCATCTTCTTTCCAGTAGTTTTCAGCAGTCCCTCCAGCGCTGATGTCTGATCCAGCACTGACTGCGGCGTCTTCTGTATCCCATGGTGTCTGTCCACATGCACGCTGCATGCATTGACTTGCACTGTGGTCTCTCCTCTTCTCCCGGCTGAAGATCTCTGCTGCGCATGTGCCCGTGCCATGATCCTTCACAGCCGCTCGAAAATCTTCAGATCTTCAGACGGAAGCAAGTGGCGGAGACACAGACACGTTTTTACCTATTTGGTAACTTTTTTTGCATATATCTACTGCTTGCTAGCTGTAGATATATGCACACAAGAAAAATTGGAGGTTTAATTCTATTTTAATACTGCAGAATGAACTTGGAGTAGCAGCCAATCGTAAGATTTTGACAGATCATGTGAACAAGCGGTTTTCCGGGCTTTTTTTAAAAAATTATTCTAACTCATTTTAATAGCTTTCTGCCTACTCCAGAGTCCTAAAGCCAGCAGATAGCTTAGCCATTTTTTAATGCACAGCACTGCAATTATTTTTTTAAACAGCGCTATGGCTGTGTTAAGGTCATGCCGCTATTTTATAAATGGCCTGGCTTGATTTACTAAACTGTCAGCCAGCCTTGTCATCACTATAAAAAGTAAAAATCTGTGCACAGTGAGGGTAGATCATAAAGATGGCTACCGAAAACAACCAACTGGATTCCAGTTCTCCTTTCCCAATCCAAATAAGAAAATAAAGGCAAAACTCTGATCACAGGGCTGCAGAAAAACTGCTGAGCATTGTCACAACGTGAAGACATCACTGCTATATACTGCAGCTGACGGATGACAATGGAAGCATTCATCAGTATCAATGCAGTGCAACATCTAAAAGTCACTCCAATGTGTACTCAGCAGTCCAATGCAAAGAGTTAAAGTCACACCAGTCAGTTCCATTACTTAAAGTGAACCTGTACTTACACCATACTGGGCAAAGTGCCAGCTTCATATTATAGAAGGTAGTTTATTGAGACCCTGGGAGGATAAATACAAATCCTACCAGACATTTACTGAGACAGAAGAGATCTCATCTACATGAATGAGCAAAGTGGCAAGTTTACTTTAAACAGTAAGAGAAAATGTTTAGGGAAACTCTGATTACATGGCCGAAAAATCACAAAAGAACCCATAATGCACTGCATTGCCCCTGGTCAGATGGGTCCCCGAAAGCCAATGATCTAAAACAAGCCACCCCCTAAGTATAAAAATGAAGGGCTCCGGCCAGCCATATTGTCAGTGTGTGTTTGAGTTGGTCAGGAAAAGTTGACCAGTATGTATAGGGAGAGATACTTTGCTATATCATTCTAAACAGTGATGGGATAATGTGGGGTATTCTATTTTATTTTGTAAGTTTGGGGTGCACAGTGTACACTTGTTGCTGGGCAGTTGTTGGAGCTGCCCTTTGTAGGCTAAATACTGCTGCATTGTTGTGCAGCATCTGAGATGCACCTAAAGCACCACACATTACCCCCCTTTCCTCATCACCAGAGTTTAAGTAAAAGCCATTCACCAAAAAATTCTACAGTGAGAGGCAGAGGTGCTGCACATGTGTAGAACACATGTGCCTTTTTCCCCCCAAATGTCTGACCAATAAAGGTCTGAATACACCCAGCAGATAGTTGGCTGCTATACCTACATCCTCCCGGGGCAAAGCTGCCAGTTGTCTGCCAGTATTACTAATGCGTCCTGTTACCCTCTGAGCGGACATGACACTGCATCATCGGGAGCCGGCGGCAAGTACGCAGGAGATAGCCAGCTCCCGGGGATGTCAGAGAGGAAGATAATGGCATAGGACCAGGTTGTGCCAGGTAAGCACGGAATGCAGCAGGACATTGCTGGATTCGCTGGCAAGTGAGTATATATTTTCTGAAGGAGGCGGTGCAGAACAGGTATATATGTGGGGGCTTGGCGTGAAACTTTAAGCTCGTGTAAAACTGTCACTGACACCTCACCCCCTTTCCCGGCCCTGTCAGTTGCGACTGGGGCATTTCCCACCCTGCATTGTGTTGGGGGGGGGGGGGGAGTTCCTCAAATTAAAAAAAAAAAGTTGCCATCAGTACATGCCCCCCATGGCAGTGTCCAGCATCCTATGCTTATTTTTTTTTGTCTACAGTTTGTTTCCCCACAAAAAGGAACAAACTAAATATCAAGAAAAGTTCACATCGATTCCAAGATGCACCTGACTTCTACTTAGATAAACTGACCGGAGATAAAAGCATCTAGACGCAAGGTGTGAGGATACCCATCGGAATCCCTTAGGCGCATATCTATGCATTTACAAAAGCTGTTTAAATGCATATAAAAGCACAGTGGCTTAGTGGTTAACACTTCTACCTTGCAGCACTGGGTGACCCCGGCTCAGATCCTGGTCAGGACCCTTATCAGCACACTCCAAATACATGCTGGAAGGTTAATTGGCTTCTGTCTAAATCGGTCCTGTATGTGTGTGAGAAAGGGATCTGCCATTGTAAGGGCAGGGACTGATGTGCATGTGCAGTATGTAAAATTGTTGGCGCTATATAAATACCTGTAATACATAAATAAAACCTAATCGCACAAAGTGTGAATGAAGCTTTAGGCAAGAACAAAAAACAAATAAAAGTCACTATTTTAAACCTGCACAATGGGTGGTGGGATAGGATCGGTTGGGGGAGAGGTTTGCCCAGAGCTAACTAAAATAAAATATTGCATAATTGGAATGAAATAAGTTAAAAATAAAGTTTGGGCTCTTCATACACTTTATTGAACCCCCTTCTATTCCTCCAGTATTGTGATCCTGCCTATGTACAGACAATCTATACAGTCATATAGAGATGGGGGCTTGGCATTCCCTATACATATCACTGTACCTCTGCTGAGTACAGACAGATATACACATCACTATTCCCACATATTTACACAACCGGGATGTCACTTTAAGTTCTGAAACCATCTACAAAACTTCCAGAGACATCTTCCGACCACCTGAGAACATTATACAAGTTCCGAGGACTCCGGATCCCTGACCTTCCATAGATGAGAAGATGATACAGTGTCTCCGGACCCCGCACTACACTCCTACACTTCACACACCCGGGCAGCCTCCTCTGTCATCGCTGTCCTTCACATCCCCATCCTCAGGGGGGATCGGACTGGTCCGGGGCAGTGACACTATAGGAAAGTTTCGGAAGTTTCATACTCACAGTGATGGAGACTCGGGACGGGAGGGCTGATCCTCTGCGCTGAGCTCTCCCCGGGACCGTGTTCGGGGGAGGCAGGTGACGGAGGAGGATCCGGGTGGCGGAAGGAGGTTGTCACCGAACACAATGACAGCTCAGGAGAGACGCGCTGGAGGATAAGACTTCCGCTTTGCTGGACCCAGGTGAGATGAGGCTGCAACGTAGCTAAGGCGAGGTGGCTGGCGCGCATGCGCCGGCCGGCTTTCACCTGCACTACGCCCTTACCTGTCACGAAGGTGGGTGGAGGGGCGGGGCCAGAAGGGGTGTGTGAGTGACGTCACTCGCCACTTGTAGTCCGCTTATAGCTCGGTCTGTGGCACTCGGCTAGTTCAGATGAATGAGCAAGAAAGAAACATGAAGGCTTGGCATGCTGAGATCTTCTGAAGATGCTTGTTGCCTGGTCGTCATGCTGAGCCTTGGTCTCAGTATATGAAGCAGGGGCGCCTCCATTATGAGGCAGCCTGAGGCGATAACCTCAGGTGGCATCTGAATGTGGTGCGGCAGGTGCAAAGGGGGGCAGCAGCACGGGCAACTAACAGCCCCCTTCTCCTGGCCACCTAAGGTGGCGAAAAGTTAGGGAGGGCCCTGATTGGAAGCACCCGTTCACACTGCGACAGCGTGCACTCCTTTTTGCGCTGCTTTTTTTTGCATCGCATATAATGCAGCCCTTTCATTGCAATGTGCTGTCCTATGTATAACAATCACACAGAAAAAGTCCCTGTGCTTTTCCTTTTCAAAAGCGTCGCTCCAGAAGGCATGGAATTTTGCCACCGTACATTTTGGTGCAATTTCACACATGTGTAGCAAGGTGCGCTGAGGTGCCATTAACAATAAAGTGATGCATTTTGGCACACTGCAGCAAAGTTCATCTTCACACATTGCCGCAGTGCACAGATGTCTCTTTTCACATGTGTGTCTGCATCTTCATGCATTTTTCAGCGTGTTTTAGACCTCTTTCACACTGAGCTACATCAAAAAAAGCGCTTTTTCAGCGCTGATTTGAGCTGAGTGGCATTGAGCTACAGTGCACATTTTCTCACACTACGTAGTGCTTCTTTTGGCAGTCTAGCCTATTGGGGCCAAATCACACAAAATCCACTGGAAAAATAGGTCATGTACGAGCTCCATTGAAATGCATTGGACAAGCTACATTGAGCGATATTTTAGCGATTGTTGAGCTGAAATCGCGCTACAAATCACTCAGTGTGAAGCTTTTTTAGTTTTTGCCAATGAAGCAGGATACAAAAAGATAACAAAGACACCGAATGTTCCTAGGGACACCTCTGGAAGGATAGATCACAAGTTCAGTTAAAGGAACAGTGGTTACACTACCTGGAGGGGGCAGAAAAACTAAGCTATTAACGGCTGCAACCAGATTTCCGAGAGGGCAGGCTGAGAAAAGCCTTTGAGTGACTGCAAAAGACCTGCAGCAAGACTTAGTGGCAAGAGGTGCTGAGGCCCTATGGATCAGCGGTATGTCTGGAGGAAGAAGAATGAAGCATACGTTGAAAAGAACACTCTTCATACAGTTAAGCATGGTGCTTGCTTGGTGATGCTCTGGGACTGCTTTGCATCCTCTGGCACCGAAAACCTGCAGCGTGTGGAAGGCAAGACGGATTCATTGATGTATCAGGAAATCCTAGCAGAAAACATCATGCCGCCCAAGTATACCTCAAATTCCACCAAGGCTTGGTTGCGGAAGAAGTTCTGGAAGATTCTACAGTGGCCATAACAGTCACCTGACTTGAACTACATAGAAAGTCTCTGGTGGGATTTGGAGAAGGCAGTTGCAGCACTCAAACCCAAGAATATCAGTGAACTGGAGGCCATTGCTCATCCGTAATGGGCTACGATTCCTCAGGAACACTGCCAGAAGCTGGTGTCCGGCTATGCATCGTGTTTGCAGCAGGTCATAAAAGGGTGCTCTACATGCATGCAATGAACGGGTGAAGAATTGTGAGACTGCAAAAGTCATTAAAAGTTGCATTTTTTGTTGAATTTGGGGAATCACTTGAAATATGTGTTGTGTTCATCTAATTCAATTGCATTTGTTTGATTTGTTCATTGCAAGCAACTGAAAGTCTGTAGATTTTGCCAGTAAACCTGATTTGCAATGGGGGTTGAATCATTTTAATTACAAAATCAAATCAATTTAGATTGTGACTCTACCTGTGTAATCATTGGAGCCCTGTGACAAGCCGGGTGCTGTGCTCTGTTTATTCTGGGCACACTGAGATCTGGATACAGATCGGGCGGATGCCTCACTGACAAAGTGCTTCTGGTTATACAGGGAGAGCCATGATTTCCCAGTGTAATCTGCAGGACCGAGTTATCGGTTTGACAGCTCAGAATCGGTCAATATTGGGTTATCGGTTTGACAGCCCTGCACAGAACACGGTTGGGTGATACATAGGCCCCCACCCCAGCTGTGACCCCCTCAGCATTGCACCCAGTACGGGTGCCTCTTCTGCCTGGGCCCCAGCCCGGCCCTAGGTAACAACTTCTCTGAGGTTTTTATGGCTTCCTGTGACTCTGTTTAGGATGTGCTCTCCCTGACATGTTCTAAAGTGCAACTGAAGCCCAAACTTTTTTATTTTATTTTTTTGGGATAAAGTGGAAATGGATTAGAACGCTAGGCAGGTGTTTATTGCTTTCTGTGTCCCCTGTTTGTCCTTGTGACCTTTATCACTGAGGCCTTCTTCACAACGAAAGCAGTGCGTTCCAGAGTGGTAGCTGCTGGAACGCACCGCAATCGCTCACAAAACTGCTCCCTACGTTCTGGGGAGGGGGCGTGGCGGTGCATTGAATTCAATGGCACCAGTTCCACGCCCCCCCGCCTGCACTGCGATCGGACGTGTGGCAAAACTTTGCCTGCGTTCCATTCCACTGCAAACGCAAAAAATAGGGCTTGCTCTATTTTTTTGTGTTTGCAGTGGAACGGAACACAGGCAAAGTTTTTGCCACGTGTCCAATCGCACTGCGGGCGGGGTCCGATCGCAATGCACCGCCACGTGCGTTCCAGCAGCTACCGCTAAGTGAAAGAAAATCCCAAATTTTGGGTTATCATCAGAACAAAAATAGATGGGAAATCTTCCAATGGGGACACTAGTTCTGGTGACCCTTTGGTGGACCACCAGGGATTCCCTCTCTTTGAAGGGATTTCCCTCACTTCCTGTTGTGGCTATTTGCCAGGAAGTGAAATCCCCCAATGGGGCACAGATGGAAAAGAAAAAGACTGACAGGTTATAACCTTCCTTACTTTGTCCAAAACTAAAAATACAAAAATGTGGTTTCAGTTCTTTAACATAAACTTTAAAGAATTTCCTCTTGTGTGTTTCTTTATGATGTCTCTCCAACCTTTACCATACCTCACTTATTATCACATACATCAAAATGATCATACATCTGATTACAGTATTTGCATGCCGGCATCACTTAGTTCTAGATGAAATCTCTCACATTGCTTCTCTGTAATTACCAACAATAGTGGAATCACATATGAATATGACCGAGGAGCTCTGGCTCATTAGAGGAACCAGTCAGAGGGTGGTTATGACACAACTTCCAAACATGAGTCATCTGCAAGCTGTCTGAGCTGCACCCTGAGCTATACACAGCCCAAAACCTCAAACACAGCACCAGTAAGAACTCAGAGGATGACGGATATAATTACAATCCTCTGCTGTCTGTTCTGTCTGCCCATGCTTTCCGTGTTTCTACGTGTCGGTGTGTATCCTGTGTTCCTAGGCTACCCTAGATAAGCTCTTTTTTTGCATATTATTTAGCTGTCCCAGAACAAGCATGCTGATCTGGGCTTTTGCTTTTCCTTTGATTTCTCTAGATGAGTGTTTGTCCTGACTCAGCAAGTATAGAAAAGGACTAGACAAGGGGTAGGCAACCTCAGCGCTCTAGGTTTTGCAGAACTACAAGTCCCATGAGGCATTGCAGGACACTTGACAGCCACAGGCATGACTCCTGGAGGCAGATGCAGATTTATAGTTTCACCGCAGCTGGAGTGCTAAGGTTGCCTTTCCCTGGACTAGACAACCTCAGCACTCCAGCTGTTGTGGAGCTATAATTCCCATGAGGCACTGCATGACCTGCAGAAGCAGAGATATGATGGGATTTGCAGTGTCAGCACAGCTCGAACGCCCAGGTTGCCTACCCCTGGTATAAAGTATAGAGGCAACCAGGGAACTAGCATTTTCTGAAGCAGTAAACAATACCAGGTACCCCCTAGGGCAGTGGTTCTCAACCTGTGTAACCTGAGGATTCACATTTGTCCTTGGTCATTAAGTCGCGGCCTAAGTCGCACTGCAATGGAATGCACTGAATTAGGGTACTGCACATTCCGATGCAGGCGTATGAGCTATGGGTGGTAGGTGCGTTTGGGGTACCATTCAAATGAATGGCAAGGTAACACACTTCCCACGCCAGAATTCACGGCAGGTGCAATTGCGTGGTATAGTGTGCTAATCGCATGGTTCTATGCATATAACACACTGTACTAGTGTAAACAGGCCCTCAAAAACACTGAGATTCTCACACACACACACTCCAAAAAATGTACAGATTTTTTTTAAAGTCCAGCCAGTCTCCCTACCTTACAAGAAATAGAGTGGATCCTCAGCTTGGGGTCCAGTGTGGGCTGCTGTGCTGTGACAGCCCTCCATCCATATGTGCATTGCTGGTATAGCTCCCTGTAGAGGTGCTGGGAGCCAGAATGTGACATCACTCCAGTCCAGGCACCTCCACAGGACATGTGAAGGAGCTGTAAGCAATGCATGTATGGATGGAGCTCTCTCGTGGCCATAGCCCCATCTCATCCCACCTGCAGCTGGTACTTGGGACCAGGCAGCATAGTGCTGTGCTGTGCTGTGCTGTGCTAGGGGAAGGCAGAGGAGCCTTTCACCTAGAAAGTGGAAGGCATGTGGTGACCCACTGAACACGGGGTCACGAACCACTTTTGGGTCACGACCCGCC